AGAAAAGCAAAACACAACAAAAACCCCAAAATCAGTAAAGGAAAGAAAGATCAGAGCAGAAATCAATGAAACAGAAATTAAAAGGCACACAAAAGATCAATGAAATAAATGGTTCTGGAAAGGTAAATTTGGCTGGACTTGATACCAGAGAAACTAGGGCTGGGCTGTTGGTCACTGGACAGCAGTCTGCCATCGAGAAGAGCTGATACAGTGGAGGATGGCCTGGTCCTTGGGCCCTACACCTGCATGGGAGACCAGGGGGAGGCACCTGGCTCCTGGCTTCAGATTGGCACAGCACGCCGGCCATGGCGGCCACTTTGGGGGTGAACCAATGGAAAATGGAGGACCTTTCTTTCTCTCTATCTCTCTGTTTCTCTCTCTCTCTCTCTCACTGTCTAATTCTGCCTGAAAGAAAGAAAGAAAGAAAGAAAGAAAGAAAGAAAGAAAGAAAGAGGCTTATGCATGAGACTAGCAGTCATGGGGGAGAAGCAGACAGCTTTGTGTCAATGCTTTTCTTGTCTTGCCAGTTAACAAGAGCACATTTAAAGGAGAAAAGGAGTTGGAGGAAGTGAGAGGGGATAATGGGCAAACTGGGAAGGCCAGCTTGAAAGCAGTTGGGGGTGGTTCCTTCAATGTAGGGCTTGATTGTTTACAAGGGGATGGTGTGTTTCCTTCCTTAGCTGAAGTCTTGTGGTTCTAGCCATTTTCCAGTAGTCAGTCCTCAAATTCTTTTTGTTTTAAATTTTTATTTATTTAAAAAACAATGACAGAGAGATACCGAGGGAGAGAGGTAGGGAGAGAGGAAGAAGGAAAGATCTTCCATCTACTGGTTCACTCCCCAAATGGTGGCAATAGCTGGAGCTGGGCTAGGCTGAAGCCAGGAGCCTGGAACTCCATCTGGGTCTCCCACATGGTTAACAGGTGCTCAAGAAGTTGGGCCATCTGGTTCTTTCCCAGGTGCATCAGTAGGGAAATGGATTGGAAGCAGAGCACTGGGACTTAAACTGGTGCTCCCATGTGGGATGCTGACATCACAGGTGGCTGCTTAACCTGCTGCACCATAGCACCAGCCCCAGTCCCAAAATTCTTAGGAAAGTTTTTTATTTTTTTTTTCTGTTGAATTAAACATAGTTTTAATTAGCCACAAGATCAGAAAATTAGCTTTTGGTAAGCAGAATGTGTAAAGAGGAATTAAAATGTATTTACTACAGTTACAGATTAAGGGGAAAAAAAAGAAAGTGAAATCAAGCCCCTAATCAGTGCCTTGAATGCAGACTAGATGCCCTCAGGCCCTAGTCTCCTAGCCTGCCTCCCTTAGCTTCAAGTATCCTTTGCCTTTTGAAAGCATTAAAATTAACTCTGACTTGAGAGAGTGGGACAGCTGGCCCCACAGTGACTTGATTCACAAGGTCATTTGCCTCTCTACCAGATAAAACCTTGATGGCCAGTATTACTTGATGAATCTGGCTTTGGGGAATCCCATGTCCAGGGCAGTCATAGCCATCTGTATGGATAGCGGGTACATAGTTCAACATCATAGAAGTTTTCTGAGTAAGACAAAGAACCAACATCACCCTGAATGGGGAAAAGATGAAAACTTCTGGAGCTGGCACTGTGGCATAGCAGGTAAAACAGCCACCTGCAACCCTAGTATCCCATATTGGTGCTGGTTCAAGTCCCAGCTGCTCCACTTTGGGTTCAGCTCCCTGCTAATGTGCTTGGGAAAGCAGCAGAAGGCAGCCCAATACTTGGGACCTTGTACCAATGTGGGAGACCTGGAAGAATCTCCTGGCTTCTGGTTTCAGATTGACATAGCTCCAGCCATTGTGGCCATTTGGGAGTAAACTAGCAGATGGAACATTTCTCTCTCTCTCTCTCTCTCTCTCTCTGCTTCAAATAAATAAATAATCTTAAAAACAAAAAGATGAAAACCTTTCTTCTAAAATCTGGAACAAAAAATGAATGTCTGCACTCACCATTCTTATCCAGCACAATAACAGAAGTGTTAGCCAAAGCAATTAAGCTATAGAAAGAAATAAAAGGCATAGAAATATGCCTGGAGGAAATAAAATTACCCTCACTTGCAGATGATTTGACACATAGAAAAAAGCAGCCAAAAGACTATTAGAACTAACAAATGAATTCATGCAGGAAACATGCAGGATTCGAAATCATCATACAAACATAAACAACATTTTTATACATCAATAACAAACTTATTGAGGAAGGAAGAAACTATAAGAGTGTTTCCACCTACAATAGCTACCAAAGCAATCAAATGCATAGGACCAAATTTAACCAGGAAGGTGAATGACCTCTATAATAAAAAATTACAAAACACTACTGAAAGAAACTGAAGAGGACCCCACACCCCCAGCCCAGAAGAACATTCTCCTCTTTTCATGGATTGAGAGAAAAATATTGTTAAAATATCCATACTACAAAAAGCTGCTTACAGATTTAATACCGTCACCATCAAAATATGGATGGCACTCTTAATGAAAATAGAATAAGTAATCCTTTTTTAAAAAGATTTATTTGAAAGGCAAAGTAACAGACAGAGGTAGAGACAGAGAGAGAGGTCTTACATCCATAGGTTCACTCCCCAAATGGCTGCAACGACCAGGGCTGGGCTAGGCTTAAGCCAGAAGCCAGGAGCCAGGAGCTTCTTCTGGGTCTCCCATGTGGGTGCAGGGGCCCACACACTTGAGCCATCCTCCTCTGTTTTCCCAGGTGTATTAGCAGGGAGCTGGATTGGAAGTGGAGCAGCTCAGGCTTGAAGCAGTACCATAGGGGATGCTAGCACTGCAGGCCAGGGCTTTAACCTGCTGCACCACAGCTCTGGATCCAAAATAAACAATCCTAATAGTCACAGAAGCAAAAGTGACCCCGAGCAACAAAAGCACTATTGAGCCAAAAGAACAAGGCGGGAGCATCACAATGCCTGATCTCAAAGCATACTATACTGACTAAAACAGCACAGTATTGGCATAAAAATGGATATGTGTAGCAGAATGGAGATCCTGGAGATACGTCCACACAGCTCAGCTATGTGATGTCATAAGATTCACCTTGGAGAAAAGATGTTCTCTTTAATCAAATATCATGCGAAAAATGGACATTCACATTCCAAAGAATGAGATTAGATCCTTAGCTCCCAGTACTGCAGACATTAAGCCAAAATGAATGGAAGACTTTAATCTAAGTCCAGAAATGATAAAACTAGTAGAAGAAAACATATGGAAGAGTTCTATACCATTGGTCTGGTCATTGATTGTTTTAGATATGACCTCATAAGCAAGACAACTAAAGCAAAAAAAGACAAAAATGATTTCATCAAGATAAAAAGCTACTGCACAGCAAAAGAAACAATCTACAGAATGAAGACAGAATTTACCAAATATGAATAAATATTTGTGACTTATGCTTCTGCAAGTGAGTTAGCATACAAACTACACAAGTTACTCCAACAGTTCAATAGCAAGAAAACAAATAACCCAATTTAAAAATGGACAAAAGTCCTAAACCAACATTTACTAAGGGAAGACATAGAAAATGCCAAAACATACTGAGAAAATGCTCAACTTCACTAATCATAATGGAAATGCAAATCAAAACCGCAATGAAATATGATTTCACTCCTATTGGAGTGGCTATTACCAAGAAGATGAAAGATGGCAAGTGCTGGCAAGGATGTGGAGAAAAGAGAACCCTGTACACTGTTAGTGAAATCGGAAATTAAAAAAGCCTTTATGAACAGTATGGAGGTTCTTCAAAATATTAAAAATGGAACCTCCACATGGTCCAGCTATTGTACTTCTGTGTACATATGCCCAGGAAATGAAACCAGTAGGTTAAAGAGACAGCTGCACTCTGTGTTTATTGCTGTACTATTCACAATAACCAAGACATGCTGTTAACTGTCCATCAGCAGATGAAGAGATCATTAAAATGTCATACATATACACAATAGAACATTATTCAGCTATAAAATGAATGAAATCCAGTTTTGTGACAGCACGGATGAACCTAGGAAATAGTACATTAAATAAAATATGGCAGACACGGTAAGACAAATACTTCATGATTTCACTAAGGTGTAAAATCTAAGACATCCGATCTTGTAGAGGACAGAATAGCATGGTGGTTACCAGAGGCTTGTGTGGCCAGTGGGGAGGGGAAAGGTGGGATGTGGGTCAAAGAAAATATAATTACAGTTAGGTAGGAGAGGTAAAAAGCCCAGCAGAGAGAAATCTAGAGACACAAACTAGAAAAGCGACTTCTTGGGACTGGGAGTCAGGGTTGGGAAGTGGAGAGGGAACAGTTAGCTGAGAGAGCAAGAGAAAGTGGGAATGTCTGCTAGTGGCTATAGAGCTTATTTTTTTAAGATTTATTTATTTAAAAGGCAAGTGACAGAGAGGAAGAAACACACACAGAGAGCGAGGGAGCGATCGAGCGAGCGAGAGAGAGAGGAAGGGGGAGGAGAGATAGAATCTTCTATCTCTGGTTCACTTTTCAAATGGCAACAGCCAGGTCTGGGCCAGGCCAAAGCCAGGAGTCGGAAACTCCATCTAGGTCACCAAGGGTGCCAGCACCCAAGTACTTGGACCATCTTCCACTGTCTCCCCAGATGCATTAGCAGGAAGGTGAATTGGAAGCACAGCAGCCATTACTTAAACTGGCATTTGTATTGGATCGACTATATAGACATATGGGGTGGGGGGGAAGGAAGGCCAAGCCACGCCAGCAGAGAGTGAGGCACTGCTTAGCAAGAGTCGGTTTTGGTATGGCAGCAACTCCTGCTGGCGACAACGCTTGGCGCCAACCCCCCCCCCCCTCCGCAGGGAGATGGACGGGTGGGGGAGGGGCTTCTCCCTGACAGGCTGAAGGGACGGGGGCGGGGGGAACCCAGAGGGCAACGTGCAAGCGGGAATCAAATGTGGCCGCGTGGGACCTATGAGAAAGAAGCTTCCAGAATGCGTACGTGCGCTTCTACATACATAAATACATCCATTGCACGGCCGGAGTCTGTCACGTCAGCGCTGGGACTAGAGCAGGCATGCAGCTTTGTGCGCCCAGGCGTGGACACCCTCTCCAAGACAAGGCACCTCAAGCGGTAGAAATCGCTGCAAATCGGGAAACACGAAGGTTTGGGGCTGGGTTTTTTGTTTTTGTTGTTGTTGTTTTTTTTTTTTGTGTGTGTGTGTGTGTGTGTGTGTGTGTATCTTTTTTTGTTTTTGTTTTGTAAGAGGAGCTGGGCGGGGAGGGTAAGCCCAGTTTGCCATGCAGGAGTCCTGTGCCAGGAGCCAGGCTGCACTCTCCCGCGCCAAGCACCATGCACCGCTAGGGGAAGGGCCGCACCAGCCAGGCCGGGGTCTCGGGCCTTTCTGGAGAGGAGGGGGTTCGCCCAGGCCAGGCTGGGGGCCGCTGGGGGAGGAGGGGCGGGGCACGCCCCCACAGCGCTGCCCCACGGGAAGAAGTCTGCGGAGGCCAGGAGGGGCCCCCGCGTCCAGGCTCCCAGGCCCTAGGACACCTCGCGTCCTTCACCGGCCTCCCCTCCCTCGCCAGGAGGGGTGGGGGTGAGGAAGGGGTCCGGGTCCCTCACTTAGTGTTTTAGGTGCAGCTCAACTGAAAAACGCATTCCACCCCCTCACTCCCGCCAGCACCGCCCCGCCCCCTCCCGCCAGAGCCCTGGGGTCACCCTCTGAGCGGGGGTCCGCCCGCCCCGCCCCAGCTCCCAGGGAACCCCGGCTGCGCCCCGCTGGGTGGAAGGGTGAAAGTGGAAACGGTGGCCCCCATCGGGCTTGGGGGCCCCCGGGGGTTTGACGCTCCAGGATGTAAAGCACTGGCGGAGGAGGCTGGGGTGCATGCTGGCTGCCCCTGAACCTACCCAGGCGCCCCAGCAGGGTGGGCCGGGCACCTAGCACCAGCCCTGGGGTCAAATCTCTAGCTTTGGGGGGACACAGAGATGATTGGAGGTGGCGGGGGGGGGGGTTAGATGGGCGGGGCCGCGCCGTGGCCACTCAGTGTCCAGGGGGACAAAGGTTGAGGTCAGGCACTTAAACCGCTGGCTCTGGCGCTCCTCCCCCAGGGGCTACCTGGAGGGGGCAGCACTCCCCTCACAGGGCACCTCCCTCTACCCACGGCCCGGCCCGGCCCGCCCCGCCCTGGGAAACTGCATTTCTTAGTGTGTGCAACGTGGTTCCCTTCCTGGGGCGCCCAGCCGGGCTGGGGTGTCAATTGCATAGACTTCTCCTCCAAGCAAGATGGGCAGGGTGGGAAGACCCCGTCCCCAGAGACGGGGAGAACAAGGGAGCGAGCAGGAGCGAGTCCCCGGAAGGGGGAGAGGGACAGGTGCCTCTGCGCTGGCACCCAGCACTGGGCCCGCACTGCCTGCGGTCTCCATGCACCCCTTCTGCCCAACCCCTGCCCTCCACCAAGGTCTCGGCTGCCCTCGACTGGGGTCCTTGCCGCGCCCCGCCTCAAGTGCCTGCCTCCCCTCTCGCCGAGGCCATCCACGGGGAGACAAGGTGTGGATGGGGGCGGCCGATGTCCCCATGGCCCAGGAGAGGCAGCCTCACTGGGTGTCCCGATGGCCCAGTCCTTGGGCGCCGGCGCTGGGCAGTGCTCACCTGGACCTGGGCAGTCAGGGCCGGGGGAGGGGCAGGTGCTCGTGCGTGCTTCCATCCTGGCCCTGTTGGAGCAGCAGGTGCAGAGATGAGGCAGGCGCCGGCTCTCGCAGGGCAGCACTGCAGTCCAGCGCCTTGGCTTTCTGTCTGCTTGGCTGGGAGGTGTGGGTGGGTGGGGGGTCTTCCTGGCCCCTCCCCCACACGTGTCTCAGTTCGGTTTTTCCTCTTCCGCCTGCATGGGTTGTTTTGTCTTCTCTGCCGGGCTGGGCTTGCTCGGAGGGGCCAGCTGTGCTGCCCCCTGGGATTATTGATGATGGAAGAGGGGCAGGGGGCAAGGACCCTTGCTACCCCAGGTACCAGGACTGGCCGGCGGAGGGAGACAGAGAGACGCGTGGTCAGCGTGGTCAGGCTTTGGCACCCCCAACCCGGCGGGTGAGGCTGCCAGAAACATCCCATCAGGATGTCCGACGGGCAGTCCTGGGGCTGAGCGGAAGCCACAGAGCAGGACGGGCTCAGGAGCCAGTGCGGCTCAGGAGAGACAGACAGAGATACGTGGGCCGGGCAGGGTGTGTGTTCACTTGCTAACCCTCGTGGACACGTTTCCAGGGAGAAGGGGCTCCCAGGGAGCCCTGGACCAGGGTTCCCGCCCCCCATTTTGTGAAGAGAGAGGCTCTGAGCAGGCAGCAGACTTGCCCAAGGCAACCAGCGTGCAGATGGCGAGACCCCCCTCCAAGCCCAGAGGAGGGCAGACAACTTAGCTTGGTATCACAGAAGAGCTGATGAGCCTGGGGCTGCCCAGCAGGGGCACAGGAGACCTGGGGGAAGCTCAGGCCCCTCTCCCTAGACCCTAAGGCCAAGTCGGAGGCAGCTTGAGACCCTGTCTCGACTCCAGGGCCGGCCAGAGGCAGCTTGGGCCCATGTCTCCAATCCAGGGCCAGCCAGGGGCGGCCCGGACCCGTATCCCTAGACCCCAGGGCCAGCCGGGGGCAGCTCGGGACCCTGTCAAGACTCAAGGGCAAGCCAGAGGCATCTTGGCCCCATGTCTCAACTCCAGGGCTGGCTGGGGGCGGCCCAGGGCCCGTCTCCATAGACCCCAGGGCTGGCCAGGGGCAACTCGGGACCCTGTCTCGACTCCAGGACCGGCCAGGCGGCAGCTCAGGCCCATCTCCTTAGACCCAAGACCGGCCAGAGGAAGAGCAGGCCCATGTCTCAACCCCAGGGCTTGGCGGGGGCAGCTCAGGCCCATTTCCCTAGACCCCAGGAATGAACGGGGACAGCTCGGGCCCCTGTCTCAACCCCAGGGTTGGACGGGGGCAGGTCGGGCCAGTCTCCCTAGACCCCAGCACCTGCTAGGGGCAGCTTGGGACTGTCTCCTTCTGCTCAAGGGCCGAGAGGGGCAACAGCCTGGGCCCATCTCACTAAACTGCAGGGCTGCATGGGGACAGCTCGGGCCCATCTCTCTAGACCCCAAGGCCGGACAGGGAGCTTGGGCCTGTCTCCCTCTACTCCAGGGCTGGGGGGGGGGTGGCTTAGGCCCGACTCCTTAGACCCCAGTGCTGGCCAGGGGCAGCTCGTGACCATCTCCCTAGACCCCGAGGCTGGCTGGGGGCAGCTCGTGCCCGTGTCGCGGCCCCAGGGTTGGCCCAGGGTGGCTCGGGCCTGTCTCCCTTGACCACAGGGCCGGCCAGGGGCAGCTTGGGCCCATTTCTCATCCCCAGGTCTGGCTGGGGGCAGCTCAGGCCAGTCTCCCTAGACCCCAGGGCTAGCAGGGGGCAGCTCAGGCCCATGTCTCAACTCCAAGCCAGATAGGGGCAGCTTGGGCCTGTCTCCCTCTTTTCCAGGGCCAGGGAGGGTGGCCCGAGCCCGTCTCCCTCGACCTCAGGGATGGCATGGGGCAGCTTGGGCCTATCTCCCTCTTCTCCAGGGCCGGGGAGGGTGGCCTGGACTCCAGGGTTGGCCAGGGGCAGCTTAGGCCAATCTCCCTAGAGCCCAGGACCAGCCATGGGCAGCTTGGGCCTGTGACTCGATTCCAGGGCTGGCTGGGGTCAGCTCAGGCCAGTCTCTCTAGACACCAGGGCCGGCCAGGGGCAGCTCGGGCCTGTGACTTGACCCCAGGGCCGGCCCGGGGCAGCTGAGGCCTGTCTCCCTAGACCCCAGGGCTGGCCAGGGGCAGGTTGGGCCTGTCTCCCTCTTCTCCAGGACCAGGGGAAGTGTGGCCCGGGCCCATCTCCCTAGACCCAAGGGCCGGCAGAGGGCAGCTCAGGCCTGTCTCCCTAGACCCCAGGACTGGCCAGAGAGCTTGGGCCTGTCTCCCTCTTCTACACGGCCAGGGGTGTGACTGGGGCCCGTGGGCCTAGACCCCAGGGTTGGCCGGGGGCGGCTTGGCCCATCTCTCTAGACCCCAGGGCCAGTCGGGGCAGCTCGGACCTGTGTCTCAATTCCAGGGCCGGCCAGGCAGCAGCTTGGCCCATGACTTGACTCCAGGGCTGGCTGGGGTCAGCTCAAGCCAGTCTCTCTAGACCCCAGGGCCAGAAAGGGGCAGCTTGGGCCCCTGTCTCGACCCCAAGCTAGCCCGGGGCAGCTCAGGCCTATGTGCCTAGACCCCAGGGCTGGCCAGGGGCAGCTTGGGCCTTGGGCCTGTCTCCCTCTTCTCCAGGGCCAGGTGGTATAGCCTGGGCCCATCTCCCTAGACCCTAGGGCTAATCGGGGGTGGCTCGGGCTCGTGTCTTGACACCAGGGCCGGCAGGGCAGCTCGGGCCTATGTTTTGACTCCAGGGCTTAGGCCTGTCTCCTGACCCCAGGGCTGGACAGGGGTAGCTTGGGACCATATCCTTAGACCCCAGGGCCGGTCAGAGAGCTTAGGCCTGTCTCCCTCTTCTACAGGGCTGATGGTGTGGCTGGGCCCGTGTCCCTAGACCCCAGAGCTGGCTGGGGGCGACGTGGGCCCATCTCTCTAGACCCCAGCACCAGCCAGGGGCAACTTGGGCCCATGACTCGACTCCAGGGCTGGCTGGGGTCAGCTCAGGACAGTCTCTCTAGACCCCAGGGCCGGAAGGGGGCAGCTCGGGCCCATGTCTCAACCCCAAGCTAGCCCGGGGCAGCTCAGGCCTGTCTTCCTAGACCCCAGTGCTGGCCAGGGGCAGCTTGGGCCTGTGTCTTGACTCTAGGGCTGGCTGGAGGCAGCTCTGTCCCATATCCCTAGGCCCCAGGGCCAGCCAGGGGCAGATTGGGCCTGCCTGTCTCCCTCTTCTCCAGGACCAGGGTGGGGTGCTGGTCTGGGCCCTTCTCCCTAGATCCCAGGGCCAGCTGGGAGCAGCTGGGGGCAGCTGAGGCCCATCTCCTAAACCCCAAGGCCAGCCAGGGGCAGCGCGGGCCCAAGTCTCGTCCCCAGGTCTGGCTGGGGGCAGCTCGAGCCAATCTCCCTAGACCCCAGGGCTGGCAGGGGGCAGCTTGGGACTGTCTCCCTCTTCTCCAGGGCTGAGGTGAGGGATGGCCCTGGCCATCTCCCTAGATCGCAGGGCCAGCCAGGGGCAGCTCGGGCCCGTGTCTCGACTCCAGGGCTGGCTAGAGTCAGCTCAGGCCAGTCTCTCTAGACCCCAGGGCCGGAAGGGGGAAGCTTGGACTCGTGTATCGACCCCAGGGCTGGAAGGGGTAAGCTTGGACTCGTGTCTCGACCCCAGGGCTGGACAGGGGCAGCTCGGGCCTGTCTCCTTCTTCTCCATGGCGGGGGAAGGGGGGTGGCCTGGGCTCTTTTCCCTAGTCCGCAGGGCTTGCCAGGGTTGGTTCGGGCCCATGTCTTGACACCACGGCAGGCAGGGACGACCTGGGCCCATCTCCCTAGACCCAATGCCATCAGGGGGCAACTCGGGCCTGTCTCCTTAGACCCCAGGGCTGGCAAGAGGCAGGTTGGGCCTGTCTCCATCTTCTCCAGAGCCGGGGCAGGGGGTTGCCTGGGCCCATCTCCCTAGACCCAAGTACTAGCCGGGAGCAGCTCAGGCCTGTCACACTCTACTCCCGGGGGGGGGGGGGGGACTGGGCCTGT